AATGGATTGTTTCAATTAGGATAGGCTTGAGGTTTTCCCCTTTTTGGATTTCTTTCTCTAAAAAAATTGTCTCTTAAAACTTCTATGTATAAGTGATTGATATTTATACAAATCTAAGATATTACTCTCTCTCTATATATCACCATAAAATTTTTAGCACATAAAAATTTTGCATTGTTTGGAGGAAATATTGCTAACATACTTCAAATACATTTTATACTATAAGAAAATAGGTCAGTAGTGATCAAAATTTTAGAGACGGAAGTAAAATGATTGCTAAAAGTTTACTTTTAGTGACCAAAGATGATAATGGCCTCTAAATTAACAGGAAGCTTGATAGTAGTTACAAAAGAAAAGATTTGGTTGCTAATTTTCTTTCTAATATTTAAGAGAATTTATTTTCATATATATAAGCTATTTTAGTAATTAATGGATTTTTTTTCTTGAGTAGATAATACCTTTTAAAAAAACAATTGACTTCCCATACAAGAACAATTACACTCAAGCAAAATTTAAACCTATATATGCATGATTTATTTGCGAAGCAATTTAAAGTGATGCAATAAATGAATCATTCAATTTTTAGCTTCCACTTTTGATGGTAGGTAATGTCATATTTTCTTGTATTTATCAATGGTTAGCAATTAATCAGTCAATCAAGTACAATAAAATCTAAGTGGTAGAAGCCACCCAGGCGTAAGGTGGAAGAGTAATAAGTTCAAATTCTTCACCACTTAGAAGAGGGGGGGGGGGGGGGGGGGGGGGGGGGGGGATAATAAAAAGCACATAATATGATGGAGTTCTCCCACCACAAAATTAATAGTATTTTTGGCTAATCCATTTGATACTACTCAAGTAGTACCTCCTAATGATGTGTCTTTCTCCTCACCACATCCTCATTAAGTTCAAGACACTGTTAGTTCAATCCATTATTCCCATTGGATTTAGCTAACTCATTAATCCTTGCTAGGGGTGCAACCGAGTCAAGCCGACTCGGACTCGACTCGGTAACGGGCTCGACGAGTCGAGCTTATTGAGCTCGCGAGTCGAGCTCGAACACGAGTTCGAGCTCGACGGCTAATCGAGCTCGAGCTCGAACATACGTCAGACTCGACTCGTTGGCTCGACGAGCAGCTCGTTGGCGGAGCTCATGGGCGGGAAATCCAAATATCGCGAGATGAAAATCCAAAACAACGGCAAGCAGATCTCGTTTCTCGACGGCGGACGAGCTCGGGACAAAGGCCGAATGCGACTGATCTTGATCTTGACGGCAGAGCTCATCCATTGGTCGTCGAATCTTTGGACAACGACATCCATTGCTCGACAATCTCTGGACGACGACGATCTCGCGACGACGACATCCAGAGCTCATCTCGGGACGGTAGTGCGGAACACGTCGGACGAGCTCCGCCAACGAGCTGATGGCGGACGGGCGCGACGACGGAGCTCAAGAACACGTCGGACGAGCTCTGCCAACGAGCTGATGGCGGACTGGCGCGACGGAGGGCGCGACGACGGATGGTGCGACGGACGGGCGCGACGACGGTGGGCGGAACTGCAGATGAAGTCGGAACTGAGGTCTCGGGCGGAACTGAGACGACGGGCTCGATAGCGAGCTCGACGAGCCGCTCGATTTGACGACGAGTCGAGCTCGAGCTCGGATTTTGAGCTCGACTCGAGTTCGAGCTCGAGCTCGGGTTTTGGTTGTCAGGCTCGACTCGAACACACCCTGACTCGAGCTCGACTCGACTCGTTTGCACCCCTAATCCTTGCCAATAATGGATTACTTAAATCATCATCACCCAATTAGCACCCCTCGTAATGTTATAAGAGATAAACAGCAATGACTTATTTATGAAATTTCTTTTAAGTAAAAGGAATCAATATATCACTTATCATAACTTTGAAGATTCTTCATGTTTGAATGATGTAATTCTCTAAGCTCCTATTCCAGTAGGGTCTAAGTTGCATATAATTGATCCAAAATATGAGGTTAGCTTCTAACCCCTATGAGCATATTGACCATTGCATGGCTATCATACAAATTCAATAAGCTTTTAATATAGTCTTTTATCAGGCTTTTTTGAAACACTTAAGGGATAAGCATTCACCTTGTTCCACTATCTATCTTTAGTAAAATTATTCCTACTTTTGCTAATCTATCCAAGTTTTTCTATGAACAATTTATTCTCTATCAGAAGAACATCAATGCCCCATCTCATCTTTTTGATATTTGCCAAAAATAAGTGAGAGACCCTTAATGAGTACTTTTAAAAATTTCTTCTAAGCACAACAAATTTTGAAAGTGAATCTAAAGTTACTGCAAGATATTTTCTTAGACATCTATAGCCTTGACCTTTCTACTCATTGATACAAGAGATAATCCATTATGATGCTAATTTTATTCAATGGTTAAAAATTCAAATAAATATTGACAAGGACTTTAGGGCTCATAAAAATTAATTTGAATAATTCTCAAGCAAACATCACAAATCATAGTAAGAAATTTTTAAGCCTCCTCAATAAAAAAAGAGAGGAGCAATCAAGAGACCAAAAATGCTCTTCCCATTAAATTCAGCTTAAAACATCCATTTGCACCCTATTAAACATGTGTATAGCTAACATTCTCATGGAGATTAAAAATTTTGCAACACCTTAAGCGGTTAAAATCTTTTAGGAATCCAAATACTATATATATTTCAACATTATTACTTCTATCGTCTAAGAAGATATTCAATAAAAAAAATTTATTGAGAAAAAGTGATTGAACATCTAATGCGCCTAGGACACGTGAGCCATTATTTTTAAAGAAAATATCTAAATTGTCAACCTAATTAAAGAGGAGATCATAGGAGTTCTGACAAGAAAGTAATCCAATAATTGATTAGAAAAATCATCACAGTAAAATATTACATCGGTAAAATAACTCGAAGAAGTTGAATTCCTTAGAAATTTTAAAAAATGTATACTACAATCAAACACTACAGGAAAATCACCCAAAACCGGCAGTTTTTTCTGGCGGCTTTGATGGTAAAACAGACGGTTTTTTAAACCACCAGCGGCTTTTCGGCGGTTCTCAAACCGCCGAAAAAATTGGCGTAGGAAACATTTTGCCGGCGGTTTTTTCTGGTGGCTTTATTAGCCAACGGTCTTTCAGCGGCTTATAGCGCCGGTTATTACCCCACTTTGTACCGGCGGTGTTCCGGCCGTTGTGCCGCCAGTCATTTTACCGACGGCTCACCGGCGGTCCCTTCACCGACGGCTTACCGGCGGTTACAGCGGCCGACGTGCATTCGATCAACCGCCGGCACGCATCGGTACATTGCCCGTACGACACTAGCGGTTTCCCGAAGGTCGTGTCGACGGTCTTACCGGCGGTCTAGACCGCCGGGCTTTCACTAAATAACCGCCGGGTTTCGTCGGTAATCACCGGTATAATAACGGCGGTTTAACGAAGTTACCGGTGGCGTCAATCATCCGTCTGGTATCGTAGTTTCCGGCGGCCAAACCGCCGGTCGGCCGCCGGAAACTTATAGCACCTGAAAAAAAAATTGACAGCCTCCCCTCTATTTGAGGGAGGTTCACCCTAAATTCTAAACCTGCACATAAAGCAATATATAACACCAAGTTTTGGGCAACACACCGCTATATTCAATTAACCATCACAAATACATACATAAGCACATCCAAAAGATAGTCAATAAATGTAAACAAAGTTAATATGTTCAACCATCAAACATAAGTTCACAAGTTCATAAGTTTACAAGTTCACAATAAACATAAAAAAGTTCTACTCCTCAGATGTATCCTCGCTGTCTCGAGATGCTTGTCGCTGCTCTTCCTCTTGCTTCCTTTGATTTTCAACTCTGTAGTATTGCAGCTCTGCTTGTATTTCATTTTGAACCCTTCTCATTTCTTCAATCTCTCTAGTCAACATTGCAACCCTCTCACTCACACTTTCTTCAGCTCCAGTACTTGAATCATAAAATGCTGAGGTGGATGAACTGCCCTCATAAGCATAGTCCTGTGAACCCAAGCCATATATCCTCCCCCTCTGTCTTCCACCAACAACATCTGACCAAGTATGACACTCAGAAGTGTGGGCTGATCCTGAAGATGATCCCTCTCCAGTGGACTTGTGGCTTTCTCGAGCTCGTACAAAATCATCCTATGAGAATAAAGCCATAAAATAAATTGTAAATTGATATTACAATTAATTTTATTAAAATAAATTTTTATTCCAAAATTTCAAAAAATTTTACTCACATGAGCTTTCTTAGCCTTTTCATCAACCCACTGATGGTCAGCTTGATGTTGATGAGTTCCTGTATGCAACTTCAGTGGTGTTGGCTCCCGACCAAGGTACTCTTTCTAAAAATTTAAGATATAGTTATAATAACATAAATATAATAAATAAAGTAATTTAAAACTCTTACCAGTCGCCGTCTATGTTCCGTATGAGGTACAAATCCACTAGTATGAAGAGAGCTTCGTAAACCACCACAGTCAGAGGCTTTATCCTGCTTATTTTGCTCTCTCATTTTTCTAAACTCAGGGGTCGCCCAAACATTACTCAAATCAGCTCAAATGCCCTCTCCAATCCAATTAGGATGTTGCCCGGACTTTCTAATGTCCGTGAACATGTCCTTGAGACGGGTCGCTCCTCTCCTCTCAAAATTGGTTCTAATTATCGTGTTGTGCTCAGGCAAACCACCTAAATTCTTTCTGTAAAAATTTAGGCAATACCAAAATGATTAGTACAAATTAAATCACATATTTGAAATTATACCAAATAAGTATACCTGAAATTCTTCAAACCACATATCTCTAACCTGCTTTAGGATCTTCTTCCAGGATAAGTAAGGAGCATCATATTTATTATTTATAATATCCCGGATCATATGTATAGGTGGCCTTGAAGGATTGAAGCTGCATGTTATTTTTTTGTCAATAACATGTAATATATCAAAATATAAACAACTTAATAACATAAACTGAACTTACTTATCACCCTCAGGCTCAATGTATTGACGCTTATCTGTTGCAGCTGCATGATCGCTAGCGCCAACCTCTGGTGGTCTAGATGGTCCACCCTGTTCATGCTGCACCAGATAGGGGTAGTAATATGGGTAGGGGTAAGGAGGGCGAGGACCAGTGGATTGACCTGCTACCTGTGATGATGGTGGAGGGTAATATGGATAGAATGGAGAGGCATGTGTCTGATCTGGAGAGGGATAGTGAGGACTCGTCGAGGGAGGAGGGAAGTGGCCAGGGAAGTATGGAGGTACAACTGCAGGTGGATTTGAAGGTCCCTGCCCCTGCTCACTCGAGGACTGTTGCTGGCCCCTAGGTGGTGGTGTAGGTACAACAGCAGGTGGAACTGAAGGTCCCTCACCATCATCAGGCTGTGTGGCTCTGCTGGGAGTAATAGTAAACTTCTTTCGGCAGAACTTTAAAGTGAATGATTTACGAGGAGGATCATCGTCTGAAGCCATCTGCATTAAAATAAATAATTAGTAAAATATTATAATATATAAAAAGTACAAATAAAAGAAGCCATTAATAAAGCAGTTAATGAATTTTAAAAAGCAGTTAATAAAGCAGTTGATGAATTATAAAAAGTAGTTAATAAATTACAAAAAATAGTTAATAAAGCAGTTAATAAATACAAGTTGGAAATTAATAATTTCATTTCTTAGAATTCAAAAAGTACTATTAAAAATATTACAAAGCAATAAAATTCTAAAATTTTAAATTACAAAAACTACTCATAATCATCAAAACTATTTTCATTGCTCTCAAGGCTATCTTCACTTTCATCTCTGTTATCATCTTCGCCTGAACTAGTTGAACTATTCACATCTTCTAACTCCATTTCAATACTAGAGATTGTAGTTGGCATCTTCTCAATTTTAATAGGTCTATAACTTGACATCTCATCCTCTTGATGTGCAGTTGTTACAATGTATTATTGATCAATTATTCCCCGTGCTTTTATTTTTATGACAGCTAGCCAATCTTGTTTGTCTCTACGACCACTGGGATATTTACTGAAATAAACTTGAATAGCTTGACTTGCTAACACAAATGGATCAAACTTCTCATATCTTCTACTATATTTTACAGCTACTAAACCATATGCAAGATGAACCCTTATGCCTCTATTATGTACTGGATCATATCATTGACAATTAAACAAGCATACAAAGTTCTCTTCTTCGCCTGGGTATTTCAAGTCAAGAACCTCATTCAGAATACCGTAATAATCACACTCATCTTCTTCATGAGTGTTCCCTCTAACACATACTCCACAATTTTCAGTTTTTCTTCATTCACTCCATGACTTATAGTATGAAATCTGAACCTATTCACTATATATATTGACCAAGTTTTTACTTTTTGCATTGGACCCCATGCTAGTGCTTGCAAACCTTTATTGAAACATTTATTATCATAGTTTTATACCTAGAAACATTTGTTACTCTTACCTTTAACATCCATAATTGTATTAAAAATATTGTCTAGGAAGTTCTTCTCAATGTGCATAACATCCAGATTATGCCTTATCAAATTAGTTTGCCAATATTGTAATGTCCAAAAAATACCTTTTTAATCCAATTATGTTCAACACCATAACCCGAAAATTTATACTCTAATAGCATTAGAAAATTAATAATTGTTGGAATGTCGGAAAGTCTCCATAGTACATCATCACCACTTAATCTGGATGGAGGAGGTGACCGCTCAATTCTATTTTTAACAAATACTTCATTATTTCTCCGAAATTGATGATTAGCAGGTAGAAACATACGATGACAATCAAACCAAGTATTTTTCCCTCCATGTTTTAATGTGAAAACTTTACTATTCTCCATGCAGTAAGGACATGCTAATTTTCCTGCTGTGCTCCAACCAGGCAACATATCATAAGCTGAAAAATCACCAATTATCCATAACAATGCAGCTCAAAGGATAAAATATCGTTTTGTTTATATGTCATATGTGAGCACTTATTCTTCCCATAATAACTTGAGGCCATCAATTAATGGTTGCAAAAACATATTAATTTTTGCTTTCAAATTATGTGATCCAGATATTATAAGAGTTAAGAACATGTACGGATTAGTCATACACATCTCTAGTGGAAGGTTGTATGGTGTTAATAGAATTGGCCAACAAGAGTACGGTGTAGCTGTTTGACTATAGGGGGTAAAACCATCAGCACATAATCCCAATCTTATGTTACGGGGTTCAGCAGCAAATGAAGCATGCACTCGATCAAAATATTTCCATGCTTCAGCATCTGATGGATGAGAAAGATCGATTTTTGCTATTTTCTCCTTATGCCATGTCATATGGCCTGCTGAACTCATTGATACATAGAGTCGCTGAAGCCTTGGAATGATTGATAAATAAAATAAACGGGAATATGACACATCTTTCTTTAGACGATGTTGTTTTCCCGAGTTTGGCTTAAACTGAGGAGCATTGCAGGTGCGATAAAAAACTTATGCTGCATTATCCTTGTTATATAACCTACATCCATTAATATAACAATCAATTTTTGTAGCAGTGAGACCCAACTTGGATACTAATTTCTTCGTTTGGTACAAGTCTGAGGGAATTAAATTGCCCGCTGTATTAGTTTCCTTCATAAGACTAATAAAGTCATTGAAATAATCACAGGGAATATTATACTCCATTTTAATACTTAGCATCCTCACTGCAATGGATAATTCTGAATGTGTACTGCAACCATCCCAAATTGGCTTTTGTGCTGAATGTAATAACTCAAAGAATTTTTGTGTTTTTGCATTTAGTGGCTCTTCCGCACTAGACCTTAAATTATGACCTACTACATCAAATCCAGTAGTATGGAAGAAATCCCCTACGATGAACCGGCATGAGCATCTCTGTGTGGCTCGTACTCGCCATGTGATGTCCAAATCCAGTAGTATGGAAGAAATCCCCTACGATATAAATCAAGCTTTACATCATTGGGCTTAAGGAAGGTTAGATTTTTATGCTTCAAACATGAACATCTAAATATTTTATCAAACTGAAAGGAAGGCAGTTGAGATGCAACTTGAATGAAAGTTTCAACTCCCTGTATAAATTCAACTGTCAATCCTTTTCGACCAGGCAACAATCTGTTATACATCCAATATCTCTCTTCTTGGATAGTCATTTGGACATTGAAGCAAACATCCCCCTACATAGTTATGAAAATATTTTTTAGAACATGTGTAAACGTGCTATACTTTAAAACATGAAAGCATTGCAGATCTTGCCACCATCTTATAGAATATTTACTAAAGTTTGAGGGAGACTATTCTATCACACAAGGCATGATCGTTGCCTCATTAATGGACCCATTGTGCACTTCCGTTTGGAGGTACTAGGTTGAGTCAGCAGTCATCGTTAGATGTTTAATTAAATGACTCAAAATGGATAAAACTTGAACCATCATTCAACTTGGATACAAAATTAGATATGGTGAACTAGAGGATGTTATTTACATCTCATAATGTTCTTTATCAGCAATATGATTGTGCTGATAATATCCCCTTCTATTTCACCATCACTCTGAACAATAGATCCAAAATATCTAAAAAATGTATCTTATTATTGACTTGATCGCCCAAAGTCACAATCCCCTCACTATGTCTATTTCCACTAAAATTACACTCCATATATTCAGTTTTAGATCTACTCAAACGAAAACCTTTTGACTCTAAAGTTGAGCTTCATAATTCAAGTCTAAGGAAAGTACTTCGTACATCCTCTTGCAAATGTCTAGTGAGAACATCCATGACTAAAGCAAAAAATATATGGACTTAAGGCTAATCCTTGATGTAATCCAACCGAATTAGAGTAGATAGTTAATGTAACCTGACCAAAGAATCATTATTAATAGTTATTATTGGTTACTTTCTTCAAAGATGTTAATTTCTCTCTCTCTCTCTCTCTCTCTCTCTCTCTCTCTCTCTCTCTTGCTCTCTCTTGCACTTGCTTGCTCTCTTTCTCTCTATATCTTTATCCCTCTTTCTAGCTCTCTCTCTCTTGCTCTCTATCTATCTATCTATCTATCTCTCTCTCTTGCTTTCTATCTCTCTCTCTCCCTCTCTCTTTTCTCTCTCCCTCTCTCTCTTTTCCCTCTCTCTCTCTTTTCTCTCTCTCTCTCACTCTCCCTCTCTCTTGCTCTCTCTTACACTTGCTTGCTCTCTTTCTCTCTCTATATCTCTCTCCCTCTTTATAGCTCTCTCTCTTGCTCTTTCTCTATCTATCTCTCTTGCTCTCTCTCTCCCTCTCTCTCTCTTTTCTCTCTCCCTCTCTCTCTCTCTTCTCTCTCAATCTCTCTCTTGCTATCTTACTCTCACCCAAAGTCACAATCAACCCATTAGATCTATTATTACTAAAATTACATTTAATAAATTCAAATTTAGATCTACTCAATCGAGTACAAAATTACATATTGCAAATGTCTAGATTACAACCTAAAGCATACACTAAATTACAAACTCTTGCAAATGTCTAGTGAGAACAAAAAATCACAGAAAAAAATTCAATTTTACCTTCAAATCCTGATTTTCCTTCAACTCCCACAAACACTAGGGCGGCCGGTGTGAGATCGACGACGGCAAGACAGGTAGCTTCGAGGGCGATCGGTGTGGGGTCGGTGGAGGTCGGCGACCGGAGAGAAGTCGTCGGCAATTGTCAGCGAGCAAAGAGGCAGGCGGAGGCGACGGCAGAGCTCGTTCGAAGTAAGAGAATGGGAAAAATATAAATGAGATGGGAGGCTCGGGCCTGTTAATTTTAGGGCTTTTACCGGCGGCCTTCCGGCGGTCCAGGCCGTCGGTAATTAGTTCACTTAACAACGGCGGTATGAGCTGCCGGTACACTGCCGGTAATATTGATGTTTGGCAGTTCATACGGCGGTTACATGACCGCCGCTATTACCTGCGGCCTAAACTTAAAAAACCCCAGTTAGGCCGCTAGTAATAGCCGGTGGCAAAACTGCCGACAAAATCGCCGTTGTTACCGGCGGCCATATAACAGCCAGTCAAGGCCGCCGGTATTGGGTGTTTTTCCTGTAGTGAAAGACAGTTATATAGTAGAGGTTATAAATGTGGAATTATAAACCGCTTCTACAAAATAGCGAGAAACCTCCCCTAAGCAAAAGAATTGGAACCTACAATGGGTGGAGTGAACATGAGAGGGTATTTATATTAAAGATTAAGGTGGGGAGTGGAATTTATGTATCTATAATTTTTTAAAATAAAAATCTTTCAAAAAATAAATTTTTTTTGTAAGCCTCTAATATGAGGCACCTCTTAATGAAGTTGTACATGGCAAACACACGATTTGGTGTCGATATGGGCTGTAGTAGATGGTCGACCAAGCTAGACTAGCCTATTCCAAGAATGTTAGGTGAAAATTTGTAAGCAAATGTTTTGAGAGAGTTTAAATTATAGTTTAGAAAATTTTACTTAAT